TCTTCTTCAGAGTGATGATTTTAAGATTAAATGGGATAATTCCTAGGAAGCACTTAGCCTGGTACAGAAGTTATATTTTTTAAAATAATCTAAAATCTTTTTTAGGTGCCATACAAATCTATAATGTAATAGTACCTATGTTTGCAGGGTTTTGCTCCTGCTGGAGGAACATGTGAGTGTGTGAAAACAATTAGACCATTGGGATATTTGCATATAAAACATATTTAAAGGGGCTGGGGATTTAGCTCTGTGGTTCCGCCGCCTGCCTTGCAAGCGCAAGGACCTGAGTTTGATCCCCTGTACCAAAAAAAAGAAAGAAAAGAAAAAAGAATTATAAAATATTTAAAATATTTTGATTATCAAGTTGTATTCTTTGTTATTTGGATGAAGAAATAATCATTTGTCCCAAGAAAGGACTTCTTCAGAGGCTAATTACAGAACCATTTGTAGGGTATAACCTTTGAAATGACTTAATCTGAGAATAGTAGAATAAAATAGAATCAATATTTTGTTCCATTCTGTTTCATGGTGCATGTTGGATATTAGAACCTAGAAAGCAAAACATTTAAAGCAATGATTCCTGCTACTTCCATATGCAGCATTGTGATCATTTTAAAGAATTCACTGTTCCAGAGCACTGTTACATAACTACATTTAAAAATAACCATAAATTTTATAACTGTTAATACCATTTAGTTGCTTTGTCAAAATCTTAAGGGAAAATTAATACTGAGAATAAAACAATAACTGGGAGCTTTTGACAGTCAACAGTGGTGGTGAGTTCATGGTTACCAGCTTCTCTGGCCAGTGTGGTTGGTTAGTGACAGGCTTGATTTTTATGGGGTCTGAAAAAAAACTATAGGCCCTCCAGCTATTTTTGTATTAGTTACTATTCATAGCATTTATTTTTAATTCTTTTTTTTCTGTTAACTGAAAAAATGTATTCTTGGAAGTGTTAAATACCTTGATATATGGATATTCTGCGAAGTGTTATACCTTGTTCACTCACAGAGATAGTACAATCCAGAAGCCTATGTAAAACTTACTTTTTTTTTGCATTCCAAAGTAATATAATTCTAGTTTGGAGATGGAATTAAGGATAAGGTTTGGATTAATGAATTACTGACATATTTTATTACACCAGCTTTTAACTACTTTATTATTTAAACAAAGCAAGACACTAAAACAAGTAGCAAATCAATCCCTATCTATCTAACTACATTTTCTACAACACATTGTGGTGGCAGTAGCATGCTTTTGTAAATAAGCTGAGTTTAAAACACAAGTTCTTCGAGTTCTTTTTCATGTATTTTTCTTTGTCCATACTCAGGTATAACATCACAGGGTGATGTGAGAACAAGTAATACAGCTTGGCATATGATCACCTCTTACCCCTCCGTTAAATATGCATGAAGATGTTTTTAAAAAATCAAACTCTTAACAGTTCAAAAAACAAAAGATAAAGATTATTGACAATGTCTAGGAAGAATTCATTTCATTAGCAGGAATGGAATACAAAACATAGTCTGGAATACCATAGTTTTCTTCTGTTTTGCGAAGCTGAATCAGGCAAAATATCCAGAGAGTTGGGCCGGGGATTTACCTCAGTGGTTCCACCACCTGCCTTGCAAGCACAAGGACCAGTGTTCAATCCCTGGTACCAAAAAAAAAAAAAAAAAATC